AGAACAAGGGTGAGGAACATTAAATCTTGGGCCAAATCTGACATCTAAATCTGACCCTTCCCCGTGACACCATTTCATAGTTCCCCAGCTTCTGTGCAGCCCCCTCCAAAAGTCCCAAAGCCTCTCCTAAACCTTAGTTGCAGCTTTAAACTAAAATGTGCCGATATATTTGGCCTTACTCCTTTTTGCCCTTGGCCTTATCCCTCCAATGGAGTGGCCCTCAAGAAACTTTTCTGAAGTTGCATGTGGCCCTCTGGCCAAAATGGATTCCCCCTCCTTGCTCCAGACCAAAGTAGGCCAAGGGATGCTGGAAACTGCATAGATAGAGGATGCAATATTAAGCAGACCCTGCATCTCATCTCTCCCAAAGGTATAGGTACCTGGGCTTTCTAGCACTCCCTCTTCTTTTGCACAATTTGGCACCAACAGGAAAAAAACAGAGAGGGGAGAGAAAAAAGAGAAAGAAAGAGACACAGAGCGAAAAGTAGCCTTGTATTCCTTGCTGGCACATGACAGCAAGAAGCGATCATGCAGCTGCCAGATGCTCTCTTGTTTTAGCACACAGGTTTTCCCCCACCTTTATTTTCTGTCTTCTTCTTCTCCTTCTCCTCCCCGTCCCATCGCCTCCTCCTTCTCTCTTCACTTGATGAAGTTAAACTACAGTCTCTGGAGTGAATTACAGGCATCAGAACTGGGTTGGCATCCAAACGGCGGAGCAGTTGGTGGTGAGGAGTCTGGGGAGAAGGAAAACAGCAGGTTTTAGCTAGAAGGGACAACGGCTTTATTTCCCTCTTGGTCCTTGACAACGAAGCAGATGTCCTACAATTATTATTTTACCTTCTAGTAATGGCGTTGCCTCTCTTGCTATCCTCCCAGGTATGGGGCCTGCCTCTCTTGCAGATGTACAGGTAAAGGCTGACTTGACTTCAAAGCGGGGGGCCTGCCTGATGCTTTAGCACCATCTGCCGTAGCCCTAGCTTTGTGCAACTGGAAAATCCAAAAGCCATCTTGCAGTGATGATATCTTTACAAGGACACCACTTTCCCCCCACCCACAAAAAGGTAAGAGTTGGCAATTTTTGCAGAAAATGTCCCAGTGCTCTAAAAACAATGTTATCTGATTGAGCACGTTTGCCTGAAATCGTATATTCAGACACATTCCAAGCTTTATGTGGAAATTATTTTATTGGAACCTTTGTAATACCATAAAGAGAAAAGTGTATGTTGTTGTTGTCTGCCTTCACGTAACTGTAATGCCATCCCATGGAACTCTGGGATTTGTTGTTTCTTGAGGTATTTAGAATTCCCAACCAGAGAGGCCTAGTGCCTCACCAAACTACATATCCCAAGGATCTTGGCATCACATTTAAAATGGAATCACAGGGCTATCATTCAATAAAGGAATAGGGTCCCTATATTCAGTGGCAAAGTGATTTGAGTGTTAGATTACAACTCCGGAGACCAGAGTTTGAGTCCCAGCTTGGCCATGAAACCCATTGGGTGATCTTGGGCAAGTCACACTCTCTCAACCTCAGGGGAAGGCAATGGCAAACCTCCTCTGAAAAATCTTGCCAGGAAAACCCCATTAGGGTCGCCATAAGTCAGAAACTACTTGGAGGCACACAACAACAAACAACAACACATTCACCAAGTCCGTTGAGTCCTCACAAGGCAACTTTGGGATTCCTCTCCTGCACAAGAGGTTCCCTCCATATCTTTTTGTTTCCCTTAAAGGATACCACCCCCAAACCAGCTTCTGCCATTTTGGCTCCATAAAGACCTGTCCTTGCAATTGAGTTCCCTGTTAGTATATCACATTTTCAGAATAAAAACAAAAGATTTGGGGGAACAGAACCAGTGAGGGCCAGAGCTGGATAAAGCTGCTCAGGGGTGGGTGGACTACAGCTCTCAGCATCCTCATTAGGTACCCTGGGAGTTGTAGTCCCCCAAAAAGTAATGTTTCCAAGTACTGGAGAGGACTTTGCAAGCATTCGTTGCACTAAACACAGAACAAAGAGGGGAACTTTTTTTGAGACTGTGGGATTTTTTCGCCAGCATATCCAGCTTCTTTGGCTCCCTGCTGGTGAGCATAAAGGTCTTTCAGCAAAAGAACAATTCCAGGGCCCAAGCAAAAGGGCAAATGGCGTACTTTTTGAAGACTGCCAAATAACACAAACTCCAACAAGAGAAATATCAGGAATCCACCCACTTTTCTGCAAAAAGCTTCTTGTTCGCTCTGGATTTGGCAAACACTTGCAGCTACATCTTATTGTTAGTGTGCCAAGTCATTACCAACTTATGAGGACTCTGACACTCAAACCGCAACACCACAATGGCCCAAAGGAAGCATCTCAGGTCAGGGGGAACGCACCCAGGCTTCTGAAAGTTGGCCCAGCGGGGATTCAAACCCTTGTTGTTGTTGTTGTTGTTGTTGTTGTTGTTGTTGTTGTGTGATTCATTTCCCCTGGGACAGTGCTGCTCAAAGTGGTGGTCCATGGACCACTGCTGGCCCACAAGCCCCCAATTGCTGTTCCCTGGAGAGTTTCTAGAATAGTAAAACAAAAACAAAAAACAGTTGTACCTAATGGTCACAAACGCTGCATCACCCCCTGTATCCCATCAGATAACTTGGGAAGTTGTGCTCCAGGACCATTCATTTGTCTTTTTTGGTGGTTCATGGTATCTGCCAGCATGGTTTGAGTGTTGGACTATGACTCTGGAGACCAGGATTCGAATCTCAGCTCAGCCATGAAACCCACTGTATAACCATGGGCAAGTCGTACTCTCTCAGCCTCAGGAGAAGGCCATGGCAAACTTCCTCTGAACAAATCTTGCCAAGAAAACCCCAGGATAGACTCACCTTAGGGTTGCCATAAGTCAGAAACAACTTGAAGGGGCAACAACAATGGTATCCACAGAACACTCCTCCTGCACCACAATTAAAATATATGGTTTTAATTCCTGTTGGCTTTCTTACCAATCCAGCTTTCATAGCCATACACAGAAATCAGAAATACTATAGCAAGGATGATTCTGATTTTGTTACTTAATTGTCTCCCTTTGGACTAGAGGCTCTTATCAAAGGCACAGGAAAAGTGGTGTTGACGCACCTCATTTTCCAAGAATTCCTAGGTTACTCAGCCCTGTCTGGATGGATGGTACAGAAGTACCAGGCCTCATCCATCCATCCATGCTCCTCCTTCCATCACTACCACCTCCATCGCCCTGCCACCCCCTGAAAGACTCAAAACCGTATCAACAGCTGGTGTCCCGCTGCGTCAAGGCACAATGGAGTCTGTTCCAACAGACAATATACCTGTCATGAGAAAACATAAAACCGGCAATTAATGGCAGCGCCTCCGAGCTGGAGCTTTTCAGGGCCGGACAATGGGAAGGGTCTGGAAGGGAAAGATTAAACCCAGCGCATCCGTGGGAGCTTGTTAAATGGCCCCTGGCAAGCTTTGTGATTTCTTCTTCTTCTTTTTTTAGGGGGAGTGTGATTAGGAAGGGAATAAAACTCTCAACAAAATCTCATTGCTTAGAGAGAGAACATTGAAGTGTGCCAACATTCGGAGGAAGTTTGTGCCGGGAGGGAGCGGACATCTATCTGTCCTAGGCAGCAAATGGAGGAGTGGCAGAGTGTGATATGTCTATGCTTTCATGATGGAGAGTTTGTTTCCGGACACAATTCAAAGTGATGGTTATGCCTTATAAAACCTATGCAGCTTGGACTCTATAGGTACACCCAACTAAATGAAGTAAATGTATTCCTCGCCATTATTTCTTCTTCAGCAGCAACAAAAATCGAGTCTCAGAGGCACAAATAACATGGAAAGAATAGGGAGACGTTCCTTCACTACAAAAAGGAAGAGCAGTTCAACATTTTCCAGCAAACTCCTTACTCAAAAGTAACAATATGCACATGTGAAATTAAACATCCAGGTCAGTAAAGCCTTGCGTAAGTAGATAAAAAGATCTTGAACCTATAGTGACTACTTGAGTACTTCTTCCAAAATGAGGACTTGTGAGTCCAGGTTCAAATCCTTGCCAAAGTTAGAAATACTTCACAGGACTGTTGTGAAAATGAAGTTGGGGAGGGAGAGGAAAGCCATGTATGTGTCATTCAGCTGCTCAGAGGAAAGATGGGATATAGATTTTCCTTATTTGCAGAAGTTGCAATTGTGCAACCCTCCAGATGTTGTTACAACTCCACCTCCCAGAATTCCTTACCAATGCCCATGCTGATGGGCTAAGGATGCTGGAAGCTGCAGTCCAACAACACTGGAGAGCTGCACAGTTTCTACCCTTGCTTTTCCAGAATATAATGGAGCTATCTTATGTCCAGTCAGACCTTTATTCTATCACTTTGAAATCTTCTTCTTCTTCTTTTGAATGATAACTGCCCTTTGTTGGAGAGGATTGTGAGAACTATAGTGCAAAAAAGGGGTTCTTGCACCACTGCCTGGCTGCTGGCTCTCCTTCCTCTTTCCTTCCCAACCAGGCTGTGAGTGCAAACTTGCATCCATGATCCAGGAATCCTCAAAGCAAACAGAAAATGCTGGCAGCCTAAACAGTTTGGCCGACCCAAATGCCGCTTGTCAATTGGCCAGGAACTTGTCTTGTGTTGAAGAAAGAAAGGCATCTTGCATCTCTAAAGCAACTTCTGACTTTTGGACAACCCACACACTGGCTCCCCACTCTTGAGAGACCAGGGTTGTTCAAATCCCCACTCAGCCATGGAAACCCACTAGGTAAATTTGGGCAAGTCACACTCTCTCACCCTCAGAGGAAGGCAAAGGCAAACCCCCTCAACAAATCTTGCCAAGAAAACCCGGTGATATTTTCACCTTTGTGTGTGTGTTTTTGCTTTCAAATTATTTCCAACATATGGCAACTCTAAGGCAAACCTATCATGGGGTTTTCTTGGCGAGATTTGTCCATAAGAGGTTTGCCATGCCTTTCCCCTGAGGCTGAGAGAGTATGACTTGCCCATGTGGGCTTCTCAACCTCAAGGTGGGACTCGAACCTTGGTCTCCAGAGTCCTAGTCCAACACACAAACCACTATGCCATGCTGGCTCTCTGGATAGGTTCACCTTAGGGTTACCATAATTCGGAAATGACTTGAAGGCACAGAACAACAACAACAACGCATGTGCAAGCAGTTTCCTAACATTGAGGGCCAAAATGTCATTGCTTTGAGGGCCACCATACAGGCCAATGGAGCAACTCATTCTAAAATCATCTTCTTCCCAGCAGGCATTTCCTAGATTTCCAGAAACCAGGGGCCCTGGCAGGATGCCTTCTATAGTCAGATTGTGTTTCTTGGTGAAACCATTCCCCGGTGGGCCATGCGGATGAGTCAGGGGTCCAGTGCCAAGGCCTTGTAAGTCTCCCCTTTC